CACAAAAGAAAAACCCTGTCCAGAAAAAAAAAAAAAAAAAAAAAAAAGAAAGAAAAATTGGTTCGGACTTGGAGTAGTGAACTGCAATTTGGAATGTGAGAGAAACATGAGGTATAGCTTATGAAAATAATTTCCTTGTTTATTTTTTTTTATTTTGGAACAATTTCTGGTTCAAAATTGATTCCAACATGCTCAACCCCAATGAGTGTTTGTTTCCTACTAATAATGGCAGCCTACAAAACAGCTGCTTCATTTTCATTCTAAATGCTTTCAGTTTTACCTTGGCTTTCATGATTTTCACAATTTGAGTATTAAAAGCCAGATATTTTAGCATTTTCCTCAATTTGGATTTGTCTGAGCTTTTCTGAGAATTACATTTCTTGGCAGGGCTCTCATGTCACAGAGTTAAACTGTTGTAACTATGTTTGGATGTCACCCTACATTCCTGACACTGCAGTTTGGAACTTAGGAAAAACACAGCTTAAGTAGCCCTGTGTCGACGGTGATGGTGGCGGTGCACGCCTTTAATCCTAGCACTCGGGAGGCAGAGACAGGTGGATCTCTGTGAGTTCAAGACCAGTCTGGTCTACAGAGAGAGTTCCAAGACTGCCTCCAAAGCTACAAAGAAACCCTGTCTTGAAAGAACCAAAAACCAAAAAAGAAGAAGAATCCCTGTGTCTTCATTAAAATTTAACTTTAAGGAGCCAATGTTGAGTTACTGTGTACCTTTGAAAGTGGTTTTGTTTTTAATGTAGAAATGTTTAGTGTAGAAATGTTTGAGGTGTTTATATGATTGTTCCTTATGAAATTATTTTGCCTTTTTGAATTGGAAATTAAGGCATTTTGGATCATGTAATTTTTAAAATATTTTTTGATTTTTTTGAGTCAGGGTTTCTCTGTATAGCCTTGGGTATCTTGGACCGAATTCTGTGGAACAGGCTGGCCTTGAACTCCTGCTACTGCTTCCTGAGTGCTGTAATTAAGACTTTGCCACACCTCCCACCCATCACTCTGATCTTTTGTCATATAGGAACCATTATTGATTGAGTTTATTGGGTAATGGAAGGTGTGTGTGTGTAATTAAAACAGAAAAAGTACACTTTTTTTTTTCTTTTTCTTCGAGACAGGGTTTCTCTGTAGCTTTGGAGGCTGTCTTAGAACTCATAGAGGCAGTAGGCAGTAGACCAGGCTGGCCTCGAACTCATAGAGATCTGCCTGTCTCTACCTCTCCAGTGCTGGGGTTCAAGGTGTGTGCCACCGCCACCTGGCCACACTTTTTTGAGACAGGGTTTCTCTGTGGCTTTGGAGGCTGTTCTGGAACTAGCTCTTGTAGACCAGGCTACAACTCCCAAAGATCTGCCTGCCTCTGCCTCCAGAGTGCTGGGATTAAAGGGGTGCGCCACCACCGCCGGGCCATTTTTTTCTTGAATGGTGGTCCTTAAAAAGAAATGCCATGGGTCTGGAGAGATGGCTCAGAGGTTAAGAGCGCTGACTGCTCTTTAGAGGTCCTGAGTTCGATTCCCAGCAACCACATGGTGGCTCACAACCATCTATAATGAGATCTGGTGCCCTCTTCTGGTGTACAGATATACATGGAAGCAGAATGTTGTATACATAATAAATAAATAAAATCTTTAAAAAAAAAAAAAAGAAATGCCACATTTGGTTGAAAATGGTAACATAAACATTTGGACTCTGTCTTAACAAGTAAAAGGAAGGGCAGGGGAGATTCGATGGTTGTCAGGAGCATTGGCTGCTTTCCCAAGTACCCAGGTACTTTCCTAGCACCCAAGTCATTGCTCACTGCTGTGTCATTCTAGTCCCAAGGGAATCTGACACCCTCTTCTGGCTTCCAGGGCAACCAGTCATGCACTTGGTGCACATACATACATGCAGACAAGCACTTAATACACAAAATAAAAATAAATGTTTCTTCTATGTTACTATTGAGAACTGAACCCAGGGTCCTTGCAAAAACAATGAGTGCTTCAAGCACCTAAACTTTTTTTTTTTAAGGTAAAGCAAAAAAAAAAAAAATTTTTTTTTCCATTTGTTGCTTTGCATTTGAACTTCTGTTTCATGTTGGGTTTATTAAGAGAGATTAAGGCATGCCACATATTTAGAGAAGGTATTTGTAATACATGAAACTGACACAGGCTTATGGACACAATATTTTTAAAATGCCCATGAATAAGACAATGTAATGAGGACTGAAGAGATGGCTCAGAGGATAAGAACACTGCCTGCTCTTCCAGAGGTCATGAGTTCAATTCCCAGCAACCACAGGTGGCTCACAGCCTTCTGTAATGAGATCTGAGCCCTCTGACCTGCAGGCCTACATGGAGGCAGAACACTGTATACATAATAAATAAATAAATCTTTAAAAAAAAAGACAATGTAATGAAAACTTGGATGAGAATTGAACATTATAAAACTGGATCTTCAGATGTCCAAGATTTTTATTTATATATATATATGCATATATATATGTATATGCATATATATATATGAGAAAAGGGACTTAATACAGTGAAATGATACTGTATATCCACAAAGGTTAGAAATTTTGAGTGGGTAATAGCAAAGTCTATGATTGAGTAACTAAAATTTTTCATGAATTGTTGATAACTAGTGTAACTGATGCTCATCTAAATTCAACTTAGATCTATACTTTACACACAGATTCTACCAGTGGGAAGGAATGTCAATGTGGGTAGTGCAGCTATGGTCAGTCATAAAAGAAAAGGCAGACTGAGAAGATGGCTCAGCAGGGAGAAGTGCTTGCCTGCTAACTGAACCTGACTACCTGGGCTGATTCTGGGATTCCATCATGGAAGAGAACTGACTCCTTAATGTCTTCTCAAGTCTGTTTGTACATTTGCATTCTGACACCACACATAATAACAAAAATAAAAGATTTAAAAAAGAAATGACAAGAGGCTGGAAAGATGGCTCAGAGGTTAAGAGTACTAGCTGGTCTTCCAGAGGACCTGAGTTCAATTCCCAGCAACCACATTGTAGCTCACAACCATGTGTAATGAGATCTGGCGCCCTCTTCTGGCCTGCAGGTATTCATGCAGGCAGAATTCTGTATACATAATAAATAAATTTTTTTTAAAAAAATTGCCACACACCATACCCCCTAGTTTCTGAGCTAATGGCTTAGGAAGTGATTTCATCATTGTGTATTTACTGACTTCTCTGCCTTTTGTTTTTCCTTTGGGAATGGGTACTGAGAGCTATAATAGTTGATTAGGTTCATAAGAGATAGGGGAAAAGTTTCATTAATTAGTGTGCCCAAAACAATTTGAAGTTGACAGACTTACTCATAACAAAGCATTCATATTAATTGAGAGTGTTCTCTTCCTAAGCTTTGAAAGGTTATCAAAACATTAAGCCTTTTAAGGTATGTTTGTTGCTTTTTAGTGAACTCATGGTATATATTCTAAACAACTGTCTTTTTCTTATTTTAAGCATGGGGGGTAAAGTACCACCTGCTACTCATAAAGTTACATCAGAAGACAAAGTCAAGGTAAGTTCAATTTTTTTTTTACTTTAGGGATAAGACATTATTTTTTAACAGGTGTGGGTTTTTGTTTTGTTTTTAACTGCTGTTCACAAGTTTTATTATTCTTAATGTTCTCACTTGGAAGTATGGTCTTTTAAATTTGTTGTCTTTAAAAAATTTCTTAGACCAAATCTGGAAACAGAATTAAAACTGGGAATTTGGAGTTGGATGCCAGCTGTTTTAGAATAAATCACCTGTGTAAATAGCAAACTCTGTATGCTCGTCATTGTCTCTTTAGTAGCAGCAAGAGGAAATAAATACCTCAGAGCATTCTCATTCTTCCTCCCTGCTACCTGACGGGAAATTGCTGAGGATGAAGAATTTGAATCCTGGTTTTGCTTTAGCACACTTAGAATGACAAGATCAGGGGAGGTTGTCCATGGTTGAAGTTTGGATATGAGGGGGCAAATAACAGGTAACATATTCTTCAGTAGCTTTCATTTTTCCTGTACTGAGAGTTTTTTCTTCCCAAGTTTTCTAATTGTCTTAATGAGAAAATCTGTCCTACTTGGAACCCTAAAGGCTTAACTAATTTGTATAAGAAATAGATGCTTGTAATCTCAGCTTTTTGGGTGGTGGGGGGGGGTGGGTTTGAGACAGGATTTCTCTGTGGCTTTGGAAGCTGTCCCGGAACTAGCTCTTATAGAAGACCAGGCTGGCCGCAAACTCACAGAGATCTGCCTGCCTCTGCCTCCCGAGTTCTGGGATTAATCTCAGCATTTTTGAGACAGGCAGGTGGATTGAAAATTTAGGTCATCTTGAGGTTACATAATGAGCTCCAGGCCATTCTGGATTACCTAGGGAGACCCTCTCCCCAAAGAAGAAAAAAACAAAAGCTCACAGGATGGCTCAGTTTTAAAATACTTGCTATACTTTTTACAAGAGGGCTCAGCCCATACTTAAAAACCTGGGTGTTGCAGGGCGGTGGTGGCGCATGCCTTTAATCCCATTACTCAGGATCCCCCCCCCCAAAAGGAAAGGTCATTGTTTAAAATCATGCTTGTCAAGATTGACAAGGGATGAAATGGGAGTTAGCTTCACCTGTCAACTTGACACAAGTGAGAGCCTCACTAGAAGAATTGACCAGATCAGACTGACCTGCAGCCTTATCTGTGAGACATTTTCTTAATTGCTAATTGATGTAGGAGGGTCCAGCCAACTGTGGGAGGTACCAACTTTAGGTAGGTGGGCTTGGGCTTTATCTAAGCAATCTACTACTCATCATTCCTCCATAGTGTCTGCTTCAGTTTCTACCTCCAGGTCCCCACCCTGAGCTCCTGTCCTGGCTTCCCTTTATGATGGGACTGTAACCTATCAGCTGAAATAAACCATTTCCTCCCCAAGTTGTTTCTAGTCATGGTGACAGTAACATAAAGCCATTATACTCAGCTCTTTTGGGGGGTGATGGTAGGGGGTTCAAGACAGGCCTCTGTGTATAGCCCTGACTTGGAATTTGCTCTATAGACAAAGCTGGCCTCAAAAAATCAAGAGATCCACCTGCCTCTGCCTCCTGAGTGCTGGGATTAAAGGCCACCAATGCTCGGCTGACCTTTCCTTTCTTGTGTCCAAGGTCATATATTAATATAAAATGTAAAACTTTAAAAGTCCCATAGTTTTTGGTAATTCTCATGCTCTAAAAGTTCAGTGTAAGGCTGTGTGTGGTGACCATACTTGTGGCATTAATTTCTGTCCTAGTTTGCTTTCTGTTGCCCAGAAGCATGGGTTTGTTGCTGTGGTGGATCTGACCAAGTTGGTTTGGGTGTCAGACTGCAGACAAATTTGACACTTTGGGGTGAAAAGGCTGTGGCGTGTTTAATATTGCATGAAAGCCAGGAAGATAAGAAATGCCAGGCAGAAGTTTAAGACAGAATGGAAAAATGCTGTTTATTAACTCAACTACTTTATATATGTATATATGATAAAGTCTTACTGTGTAGCTCTGGCTGGCCTGTAACTACGTATAGATAGTAGACTGCCGCTGCTTGGGTCTAAAGGTATATACCACATCTGGCTTAGCTTGCTTGCTTCCTTCCTGCCTTCCTTCCTTCCTTCCTTCCTGTTTTTCGAGACAGGGTTTCTCTGTGGCTTTGTAGGCTGTCCTGGAACTATTGTAGACCCAGACTGGTCTTGAACTCACAGAGATCTGCCTGCCTCTGCCTCCTGAGTGCTGGGATTAAAGGAGTCTGCCACCACCACCCTGCTTAGCTACTTTTCTGCCTAGGGAGTATTACTGCCCACAGTGGGCTAGCCTCTCCTACATTAATTATTAGTTATGAAGGTACTTCACAGACATAACTACAGTCCTTTCTGACATGGGCAGTTCTTCAATAGGGTTTCCTCTTTCCAGGTGACCGTAGTTTTGTATCAGCTTGATGGATGAAGTTTTTTGTGACAGTGGCATACTCCTTTAAATTTAGGGATGGGTAGGTAGGCAAATTTGTGCAGCTCACTGACACTTGTTTGATCATGGGTACTGTCCTAGTTACTTTTCTCTTGCTGTGCAGAGATACCACGACTGAGACAACTTATAGAAGAGTCCACTGGGGTCTTGTAGTTTCAGAGGGTTATAGTCCATGAACATGGCAGTAGGTGCTGGATGGGTAACTGAGAACTCACCTCTTGATCCACAAGCACAAGGTAGAGAAAGCTAACTGGGAATGGCATACGCTTTTGAAACCTCAGAGCCAGTGCCTAGTGATACACCTCCTCCAGCAAGGTTAGATCTCTTAATCCTTCCTAAACAGTTCTACTGAATAAGTACCACACATTCAAATATATTAGCCCCTAGGACCCATTTTCATTCAAGCTACTACAGACAAATTGCACATATAAACACCAAACATGAAAAGGTTTTCCGTATATATATATGAAAAGGTGAAAGAAGACATTTAATTGAGTAACCCTGTTTCACAAATAGGGTGGAGAGTTACTAATAAAGACACTCAACATCTTTTTGCCTCTATGTTAATGTAATCTGCACACATAGGAATATATGTACATATGTCACCCTATATATCTATATGCCCTGTATTAGAATTGTAACTGGTCCAAATTGGGTGTGGAGGTGTGTACCTATGATCTCAGCATTTGTGGGGTTAAAGCAGGATAATTGCAAGTTTGAGACCAATGTGGGCTGCATATGGAGGCTATCCATATTCTGTTGCTGAGAAGAGATAGCAATACCAAGGCAGCTCTTATAAAGGAAAGCATTTAATTGAGAGCTTGCTTACAATTTCAGGGGCCCATTATTATCGTGGCAGGAAGCATGGTGGTAGGCAGTAGCTGAGACCTCCATCCTGATCTGCAGACAGAGGGAGACACTGGGCTTGGGCTTTTGAAACCTCAAAGCCGCCCACACTCCCAGGGATACACTTCCTCCAACAAGGATTTTCAAATAGTGCTACTCACTGATGACTAAGCACTCAAATATGAGTCTATGGGGGCCACTCAAATCACACTATCTCAAAAAAACAAAATTTTCAGTGATAGAAGTATATGCTAACATAACTTGTACATTTATTATTTAACAAATATTTTAGAATTATAGTAGATATGTTACCTGCTGAGCCATTGTGGGTTTTTTTTTTTTTTTTTTGAGATAGTCTTATTGTGTATCCTGGCCAGGCCTGGAATTTTTGTAGATCAGGCTGGGATTAGAGGTATATGCCACTATTCTTGGCCTAACTTTGATTTTTATAAGATTGAAAGGAGGAAGGAACCAAAAAAAAAAAAAGTACAGTTAAATTACTTCTGATCTACTGACAGTTGGATACGTAGATACAGATTACCTGGTAGTGATATTTTCTCTAATATATATAGCCTCATTAAAGGAGAAGACAGTGCAAATGTATCTTTTGTCCCTCCTGTATCAGAGTAGATAAAAAGCCGTGAGGTGCTGGAGGGTGGGAAGGAAGTGTGCTTTCCATCATGTTCTCTTTTCAATTCTTTCTAATTTCTTTATGTGTTACAGTTCTACAGATGCTTTCTTTGCAGTTGAGCAACCTTTGAAAACTGAAGTGTTCAGGACACATTTGGCATTAAAGTACACGGTCCCAGCACTGAGGAGGTAGAGGCAGGCAGATCTCTTGAATTCAAGGCCAGTCTGGTCTACAGAGTTCAGGATAACCAGAGCTACACAGAGAAACCCTGTCTCAAAAAACAAAACAAAACAAAAACCAAAAAACAAACCAAGAACAGCAAAACAACAACAACAAACCCAACAAACCCCCCCACAATTTGAAGATACGCTCCCTTTTGCATACAGTCTTATGTTGCCCAGACTGATCTCAAATTCCTGTCCTCAAATGACCCTACTGTCTTGTCTGTTTAGATTTTTTACCATTAGTCAGGAATAGTGTGATTTATTTTGTATGAAATATTAATATTTTCCATATTGTTTTCTGAGGCAGAGTGTAATGCAACGTAAGCTGACCTCAGGCTTCTACCTGAATGCTGTGATTATAGACCCGAGTTTTCATTTGCAGCCAAGATGTTAAATTATGGAGAGTCATAGCATACAGTGCCTGTGAAAGAGTGCTGCCTAGTGTGTAATATATGAATTGTATTTGCTTTTTAAAGCCAGTTCAAATTCTAAAATGCCTTATCTTAAAGGTTTAAAAGAAGGATACTTAACTGAAATATATAAGGTATAAATTTATATGTATATATGTTTTATATGCATGCACAAACACATAAAATGTTATGTTTTTAAGTTCTGACAGCACTACTTAATTTTCTTCTGCTAGGAAGAAAAAAGAGATAATAAGACAGAGGAAAACATAAAGACGGATGAACCATCAAGTGAGGAGAGTGATCTAGGTGAGCACTTGGTAACATGTTAGATAACTTGGTGACTCAATCCTGTAGGCCATGTTTTTGTTTAGCAGTTACTTTTTGATGCATCATCTCAGTTTGGTAGCCCAGGATGATCTGGAACGGTGTAGCACAGGTGACCTTGAATTTGAGGCAGACTTCCCTCAGCCTCAGTGTCAGGTAACTGGTTTTATTTACTAGTTTGCTTATAATATTGACCTACAGACTTTTTCCTGTGTTTATTGAGAATTTGTCTACACCTGATTTTTAAAGTTAATCTTCTTAAAATAAAATATTTTGTCATTGGGTACATTTATTCCCTATAACTTGTATTGTTTGCATAAATGTCTTTAAAAACATTGCAGTACATCTCTGGAAAAATTTGAGAAGTTTATTAATTTGCTGATGGGAAAGGTTTTGTGGAGGTCAGAGGACAACTTTTTTTTAAGATTTATTTATTATGTTTACATTGTTCCGTCTGCATGGATGCCTGCAGGCTAGGAGAAGGCACCAAATCTCATTACAGATGGCTGTGAGCCACCATGTAGTTGCTGGGAATTGAACTCAGGTCCTCTGGAAGAGCAGCCAGTGCTCTTAACCTGTGAGCCATCTCTCCAGTCCCCCAGATGGCAATTCTTGGGAGACAATTTTCTCTTTCACCGAGTGGAGTTCTGGGGAAGGAATTCAAGTTCAGACTTTGGAGGAATCATTCTACCTGCTGAGCCATCTCTCTGACCCAAATTTCCCAAGTGAATTTTAGAGACTAAATCAGTGGTGTGTTTTTATGTAATACTCTGTGTACATTACTACAATAACTATCTGATTTGGCCCAAATAGTAGTCTCCTTTTTTTTTTTTTTTTTCTTTGATTTTTTTGAGACAGGGTTTCTCTGTGTAACTTTGGAGCCTATTCTGGCACTTGCTTTGGAGACCAAGCTGGCCTCCAACTCACAGAGATCCGCCTGCCTCTGCCTCCCGAGTGCTGGGACTAAAGGCGTGTGCCACCAATGCCTGGGTTTTTTTAAGTTTTTATTTGATGTGTACAGGTATCTGCATGTGGGTCTCTACACCATATGCATACCTGTTGCTCTCAATCCAGAAGAAGACATCAGATCCCCAGGAACTGGAGTTAATAGATGGTTGTGAGTCATCACATGGGTGCTGGGAATTGGATCTGTGTCCTCTGAAAGAATAGCCAGGGCTCTTAACCACAGAACCTTTTCTCCAGCATACCCCTAAGTAGTAGGCTTATCTACTAATAGTTACTAGTAATTATTTTTAACAGGCAAGTACTTTGTAAAGAATCAGAGTTCAAGCTAGGTGGTAGTATGGCACACACCTTTAATCCCAGCACTCGGGAGGCAGAGGCAGGCGGATCTCTGTGAGTTCAAGTTCCCATGGTGTTTTTTTAATTATAATCTTTGAGGTCTTATATTTTGTTTTACTTTTTTAAATTTACTTCAGTTTGATTAGTCAATAAAATTGTTCCCCTAAAGTACATACCTACAATTAGAAATGTCTTTTTCTGAGATGATTTTTTTATTTTACTTTATGTGTATGAGTATTTTGTCTACAGAGTGAAATCCAGGACAGCCTCCAAAACCACAGAAAAACCCTGTATCGGAAAAAACCAAAAAAAGAAAAAAATCGGAGTTCAAGTGAAACTAGCTCATAGTTACACTAGCAACTAGTTCATTGTCTTTCTGAGTTATTGTTTATAATACCTACAATGTCCAACACACTAGGCAAAGTTCATCTGATTTTAATAATTTCAAGTAAGTTGTGGCTATTAGGCTATACCACACTTTTTATTTAGGTTTTAATTTTCATGGTTTTTAACTTTGCAGAAATTGACAATGACGGTGTAATTGAGCCAGACACTGGTGCCCCTCAAGAAATGGGAGATGAAAATGCAGAGGTAAATTCCATGACTTATTTTAGGAAAGTGAAGTTCCTCAGTTTGGGGATTATTTTATAACATGACTTCCCAAGAATTGTATAATAAATCTTCCTTTGACTTACAGCATTTTGACACATTTTTCAGTCTTACTATCGAGAATATTTGTCAATTCCCATGGTGTTTTTTTTTTAATTATAATCTTTGAGGTCTTGTATTTTGTTTTACTTTAAATTTACTTCAGTTTAATTAGTCAGTAAAATTGTTTCCCTAAAGTATATACCTACAATTAGAAATGTCTTTTTCTGAGATGATTTTTTTTATTTTATTTTATGTGTATGAGTATTTTGTCTGCAAATATGTCTGTGTACCATGTGTATGTCTGATGTCCAAAGAAGCCAGAAGAGGGTGTTGATACCTGGAACTAGATTACAGATAGTTGTGAGCTTCCATGTGGGTGCTGGGACTTGAACTAAGGTGTTCTGGAAAAGAGGCCAGTGCCCTTAACTGTTGAACCCCCTAGAATTGTTTTTTTGTTTTGTTTTGTTTTGTGCTTTAGAGACAGTGTTGGTACAACAGCCCTGGTGGTGCTGGAGCTTGCTTTGTATACCAGACTGTCCTCAAACTTGTATAGATCTGCTTGCCTCTGCCTTCCAAGTGCTGGGATTAAAGGCTTGTGGTACCATGTTCAGCTTAGAATTGTCTTTTGATCGAGTATCTGGTGGTACATTTTTTCAAAATGGTTTTGTCACAAGGAGCTCTTCCTCAAAGGGTGAAAAATGGTACTGGGGAATGAGGTGTGGAAAAGTTTTAAATGAACAGTGATCAGTGGCCTTCCAAAGGGCAACAGTACTTCTTTAAATGTCTCGTGGTATCTGCTAAGGAAAGAAGTTTCTAAACGGTAATGTAATGAATCTTCAGCACCTGTTATGAGAGTCATCTTTGCTAGTCTGTTCTTATGGCTTTTAGCTTATATTTTCCTGACTGCTAATAGGTTTGAGCATATTCTGATCTATTTTGGTCATTGGTGGGCATTTGTACAGTCCTGTTGAGACCCTTCCCCAATTCTTATTATGTTGTCTTTTTCCTTTCTTATGTTCTTCCCCACTTTTTGTTTGTTTGGGCAGGGTCTCTTAGCTTAGGCTGACTTGGAAGTTTTCGCCTTAGCTACCCAAATGCTCCAAATAAAGGTCTTGCCGCTATGCCCAATTGAGGATATTGTCGATGTAATTCAGGGCTTTGTACATGCTAGGCAAGCACTCAACCCACCTATATCTGAAGCTCTCCTTCTGATTTTTCATTCACTCATTTACTTATTAATTTATTTGAACATTTTACGTAGCCCAGACTGTCCTCAAACAAGGTGATCCTATAGCTTCAATCTCCCAATTACTGGTATTGCAAGAGCATATCATCATACCCAACTCTAAAGCTTTGTATTTTGTCGTTAATTCACTCAACCTTTATTGAAGTTTCTTTTTATCAATGCTAACATACTGTTTACTATGTGTAATCCTTTATTGTTTTGCGTGTCTTAATTTCTTTCTTTATACTAATGCTTCATTTTCTTACACAGCTGTGTACTAAGTCTTGTTATCTGGTAGGACCAAGGACTCATAGAACTTGATGAATATTTTAGCTGTTCTTAGTGTTTTTAATTTTTCAATAAATTTTGGAATTAGTGTGCCCTGGTCTCCTGCCCAACAAGACACACACACACACACACACACACACACACACACACACACACGGGTGGGAGGAGAAAGAAAGATATATGGGGTAGGGAGATTTGATTAGAGTTGCCTTAAATTTAAGTGAAGTTGAGAGAATTCCTCTTAATATTGAGGTCATTCATAAATGTGATATCTAATTTTAGGTTTTTACAATGCCTTTCAATAGCTTTCTTAACATTTCTGGCCCCATAAATTTCATACAGTTTTGTTAAGTACTTAGGGTAACCATTAAAAAAAAAACTTTTATCGAATGTACATACTATTTATTGATGTTTATATTAGTCTTAGTTTTTCCTCTTCTGCTGGGGATTCACTGAATTGCCCTGTCATTCTAGGGTTAACATTTTTTAGTTCTAGAACATTTTAAATTATTGCTTCTTTCAGATAGTGCTTCATATTTCTACTTTTATTCCAGAATCCTGATTAGGTAGATATGTTGGCCTTTTTCTCAGTAATCTTTTGTCAATGTTGAATTATGAATACTCTGTCTCATCTTCTCCCTTTACTTTTGAATCTGATTGTTGGTTTATCTTGATACTTGCATGCTGATTGTTTTTTAAGGTTCCTTAGCTGTAAGACATCAATTAATTTTAGGATTTTTTGTTTGTTTTACTTTTGTGAGCTAAGTTCTTGCTATATGACGCATGCTGGATCCAAACTTAGCAAAACCTCCTGGGGTGTTAGGATTACCAGTATGCACATTGTACCTTGCTTTTATGTAGTATTTTGACCGTGTTTTCCGGTGATAGTTTGTAGGTGGTATGTTCTTCCCAAAAGGAATGTATTTGCTTCCCTCACAGCTTTGAGTTAAGGCTGTGTACTAATTTGGACCATTTTCATTTCCAGGATAGCTTTTGTTTACATTAGTAATACAGAATTTTAATGAACACTTGCTTCATGGTTTTGGAATTTGGTTTTTAAGTGTTTATTCTGTGTGTGTGTGTGTGTGTACTTGGAGGTCAGACCTTTTATCTTATGGGTCCTGGAGATCAGACTCATATCTGGCTAGGTGGCAAGTACCTTTGCCTGCTGAGACATCTCATCAGCCCAGTTACGGATTTTCAGAAGTGCTTTCCGCTCTCCATTTCTACATGACTGTCTCTTGTGTGAAGGAAGTTTAGCTTGTGCTTACGACATATGTTTGTCCGTGTAGGCATTTCAGGCTTGGGATTCATTTGAAGTCATGTTGGTTAACCCATCCTTATTGTCTTCATCTGAATGTAATAATATACTTTGTGTGTGGTGTTCTGCATTATCTTCAAGAAAATAAATAAATAAAACCACCAAGCTATTAGGTTTGACATTCGCTACAAGGGTGAATTGCAGCCTTTCTTGTGGGTTGTTTTTTGTCTTTTTTTTCATATTTCTATATTCTTCAAGTGAAGATTGCTTAGTTTTTAAAAATGTATTGTCTCAAATTACCCTGGGATTTCATATGGCTTGCTGTTTAGTTATTTGAACTGTTTTTGACTTTGTTCTTAAAAACATGTTTTATAATTTGTCATAGGCATTTAATAAATAACTTAGATCAAAATATTTCAATAAGTACAATTAGCATATATATCTAACAAATTTACTTTCTTTTTAACATAAAGCTATTTTTCAAGCATGGCATGATAATTTCAATACATATAAGTGTATACTGATCAAATCAGAGTAATTATCCTTTTCCATTTCATAAAGACAGATTGAAATAGATTCTTTGACCATAGGTATTCTCTCCCTGTCCCATTTCCCTCTTGAATACAGATCTGTAATAAGGTCAGCATGCCATAGCCACACTAACATATCTATGCCTAAAGCAGCACTGTTCACAATAGACCAAGTTAGGGACTTGGCCAGTTGTCTGTCAACAGGTGAGTGGGTTCTTCTATTGCTGTGAAAAGACCCCATGGCAAAGCAACTCTTAAAAGAGAAAACATTTAATTGAGGGCTTGCTTACAGTTTCAGGGGTTGGTTCATTATCTCATGGCAGGGACAGGCTGCTGGAGCAGTAGCTGAGAGCTTTACATTCTGAGCCATAGGCAGCAGGCAGAGAAAGATGCACTGGACCTGGTTTGGGCTTTTGAAACTTGAAAGCTTACCCCCAGCAATATACAGCCAACAAGAACACATCTATTTCAACATGGCCATACTTCTATTACTTCTCAGTTTATTAACTGTGTCTAAGCATGTAAGTAAATGGGCCTATGGTGGCCATGTTCATTCAAGCTGAAGGAAATGTGTGTGTGTATACACAGTGGAGTTTTACTAAATTGTAAAGAAGAATGAAATTACATTGTTTTTTTGAAAATAGGTCCATTTGGAAATCCTGTTCAGTTAAATATGTCAGACTCAGTGAGACACTTTGTGTATCCTGGGTTGCACATAGATATATAAAGCCATTGTCAGGTATGTGGCATAAAATTTTCATGAAAGCCTTTGTTTCTTTAATAGAATTATACTTTTTCTTGTTTGTGAAAGTCTTATGTGGTCTTGGAAACTGTTTTATAGGCTTGGTTTGGGTTTTATGCAGGTTTTTTTTTGTGTGTGTGTGGTGTACAGGAAACTTGACTTGGGTTTTTGTTGTTGTTGTTGTTGTTTTTATTTTTCATTGTAAGAGTCTTACTCAGTAAACCAAGGTGGCTTGGGTTTTGAGAAATCTTTTGCCTCCACCTCCTAAATGCTGAGATGAAGGTGTGTGCTACTGCACACAGCTGGCTTGCTTGGTGTTTTGTATTGTTGCTGTTTTGCAGATCGAATAACTTGTCACTTCCATTGAATCTTCTAGTTAGCTATAAAGATAGCTGGCTTTCCTTTCTGTCCTTAGACATAGCAGATTATTTTCATCGCCTCTTACTGCTCCACCGCCACCTATACACTTACTGTGTAGCTCTCATTGTCCTGTAATTCATTGTGGAGACCAGGTTGGCCTTGAGCTCCTAAGTCCTAGGATTAAAGCTGAGCTTTTAAAGCTTTTAATGGCAGAGCTCATTTTCTTAGTTGGCACCTGCAGGTATTTCACACAGTAGAGGTAATAAAGTGGATATGGTTAAAGTTACACTAAACATTCAACTTTATTTTATTAATTTATTTTTTAATTTTTAAAGATTTATATTTACTATGTATACAGTGTTCTGTCTGTCTGTATACCTGCAGGCCAGAAGAGGGCACCAAATCTCATTACAGATGGTTGTGAGCCACCATGTGTTTGCTAGGAATTGAACTCAGGTGGAAGAGCAGCCAGTACTTTTAACCTCTGAGCCATCTCTCCAGCCCAGACATTCAACTTTAAATAGGAGATTCTGCATGTGTTGTTGTTAGTCTTCGTCTGCATTGTTCTTGGTATTTATTCTCATAACTAGTATAGGTGCTCATGATTTTTATGGGAAGAAAGGAATAGACTTATGCCTTCTTTGATTGAAGTGTGAAAGGCATTAGTTCACTTTTTATGTAGAGACTAGATTTAATTTTCATGGATAGTTCCCATGGAGGAGGAAAGATAATTGGAAGAAGGCAAAACAAAAGTTCTATCTAAGGCAGGGTGTGAACTGTGTAGTATAAAAGGTTAACACTATAATTTTTCACTACCAGAGGTGAGTACATGAATGTGTGGATATTGACTGTCATTCTTAAAGTTCACATTGCTCCCTTCTCTTACTTGCTTCGCTACTTCTGAGATAACCTTCAATTTTCTGTTAGATAACTGAGGAGATGATGGATCAAGCAAATGAAAAGAAGGGGGCTGCCATTGAAGCCCTAAATGATGGTGAGTAGTGTGTTCTTTTTGCTGTATTTTTATAATAGTGTGAATATTCTACTGCAGTGACTGTTAATGGTGTCAACATGAAGGTATTGAGTTACCATACCGAAGATGTTAGGATCCTATTGTCCACCCATTCCCTTCCTCATAGCTAAGAGTCTAAAATCATTCAGCATCAGTTACATTACTTTAGTATAGACAGGTCTGGCTTAGCCTCTTCCTGTGTGTCATGACCTTTCTCTACTCAGAAGCAGCTTTTAAAAAGATGAAAGAGGCCAGGTGGTGGTGTTGTAAGTCTTTAATCCCAGCACTTGGAGGCAGAGGCAGGTAGATCTGAGTTTGAGCCTACCCTGGTCTACAGAAGGAGTTCCAGAACAGACAGGGCTATACTGAAACTTTGTTTTGTCTCCAAAAACAAAACAAACAAAAAAACCAGGCAGTGGTCATGCACACCTTTAATCCCACAGCACTCAGGAGGCAAGAGGGATCTATCTCTCTGAGTTTGAGATCAGTCTGGTCTACAGATCGAGGTCCAGGACAGGCTCCAAAGGTTCACAGAGAAACCCTGTCTCAAAAAAACAAAACAAAATCCTGGCAATCCATAACTTGACATAGTGTAATACCTTTCATAAGTGGTGTTCATAGGCTAAACACTTGTTAAACTGAGAGTATAGTCCCTGCATTTTAGGTCTTCAAAAAATTGCTGTTGGTGGCAGCATACTGGCGTAGCAGGCAAAGGGACTCATACCAAGCCTAGTTGAGTTGACCTGAGTTTGATCCCTGTGTTGGAAGGAGAGAACCATTTCCACAGGTTGCCCTCTGACCCCCATGTGTTCCTTGGCATGCTCCCTCCTGCTCTTGTCAAAAATTTTAATTAATTTTTTTGAATGTTTGATTGTGTTTGTCTGCATCTATGTGTGTGCATCATGTGTGTGCCTGGTGCCTGTAGAAACCAGAAGAGAGAGTGTCAGATTCCCTGGAACTGGAATTGCAGATGATGTGAGTTGCCATGTGGTGCTGAGAATGATACTTGGGTTTTTACAAGAGCGCTTAACCATTGAGCCATCTCTCAAGCCCCTAAAAATGTAATCTAGAATAAGATGATCAGAGAAGCTTGGTATTGTTTCTGTTTAGTTACAGTAACTTGACTGTTGTGACAATTACCAGTAACATTTAACACAGACTGCTTCACAACTTGTATGGCTTGTCATTGTCATAGTTAAGTCACATGCTGATGCACATTTGTGCTTGATTTAGAAGATGACTCAAGTTTTATTTTAGGATGAGTTTGACAGTGTTGTTCTGTATTGGCTGCTTGACTTTTTAGAGTTGGGGCTTGCATGGGAGAAGTGTTAGTCTCTGTATGTAGTAGAACTAGCTTAGAACTTCACTGTGTAGCCAGGTCTGGCCTTTTATTGTACTCAAGATCCTCCTCTTTCAGCTGCTGAATGCTGGGGGATTTGGGCTTTGTCGCCATCTCCTGCTATTGTACCATCTTTTTAGTTTGGGTCCTTGTTGCTTGCTTATTCTTTGTATTCTACAGGTTTGAAGTTTTGGGTTTGTGGGTTTTTTGGTTTGGTTTGGTTTTTGTTTTGTTTTATTCTTTATTAAAGCTGTCATTTTATTCTATTGAGACAGGTTCATACTATGTGGTTCTAGTTGGCCTGGAACTCCCTATGTAGACCAGGCTGGCCTCAAACTCACAGAGAGCCACCTGCCTCTGTCTCCTGAGTGCTGGAATTAAAGTTGTGTGATGGCCTTCACACCCAAGAACTGGTGTTTTACCTAAGGGCCAGTACTTTATATAACATTTGAAGACTTATCATGATGTTCTTCCCACCTACTAAGGTCACACTATAACTATCTCTATCTTTTACATTTTAAAAAAATGTATTTAGTATGTTTACAGTATTCTGCCTGCATGTGCTTCTTCATGCCAGAAGAGGGCACCAGATCTCATTACAGATGGTTGTGAGCCACCATGTGGTTGCTGGAAATTGAACTCTGGACCTTTGAAACAGCAGGCAGTGTGTGCTTAACCTCTGAGCCATCTCTCCAGCCCCCCATTTTGTTTGTTTATGTATTTTAGAGATAGTGTCCTTTTGATGTAGTTTGGGCAAGCCTCCAATTGTAATCCTGTTGCCTCAGTCTCTTGAGTACTGAGATTAGAGGTATGTGCAACTATGTGTATATAGCTTTGTTACTGTGTCCCTCCACATGGACACACAGCACACGGTGTAGTGGGATTGGGCCCAAGGTCTCAGTTAAGCAGTTTATAACTGAGTCTGAATCTTTTTTAGGAATATCCAGGCAAGCTTTGTAGAATTAGTTCTCTCCTTCCAGTGTTAAGCGCAGAACTTTTATCATCTTGCTAGCCAGCCCTACAAACCTTACCTGTGTGTGTGTGTGTGTGTGTGTATGTAATTGTAATTGTAGTCAGATTTTCACTGCTGTAGAATGCTTTGTACTTGTGCTTTGTTACTTCATGTGAAGTTGCTCTCCAATTTCCCCTTCCAATCCAAATCCATTGTTGGTAGCCAGTGTCTTAGTCAGTCCTTTTCTACAGTAGTTTTAATTGTCCTGCTATTTAAGTGGCTGTTTATCTGTTTAAGTTACACATGCTTGCAGTTTTGTATGTGTGTATGTATGTAATTTCATTAAAGTCTTTAGCAGCCAATGAGTGAGATGGCTCAGTGGCTGTGGGCTATGAGGTTGCCACAAGTCCTGATGACCAGAACCCACAAAGTAAGAAAAAACCCACTCAGAGTTAACCTCTAACCCCTCTGTTATTGTACCCCATCCCACTCAGAAATAAAATAAAAGAGCTCCCTCATACTAGTTGTGTACATTTACAGCCTGGGTCCAAGGCACATTGTGAGCTGCTGAATTCCTTTGCCACTGCTATATGCATCTAAGCTATCTTCTTAGTCCTTTTTTTATTTTCTCACTCATTTTTACATATTGTCTGTTTTCCTTACAGTCTTAACAAGAGTGAGCAAAAATGATGACATTTAATAGTTGTTTCTGTTTTCCTGCTTGCAGGCAAGCTGTCAATCTGTATAAATTTTTCCTAGTTCTGCTTTTATAGTATAGCTCAGTGGATCAAAGATTAACATTCTAAATCAGTTATTCTGAGTAAAACCGTGACCTGGAGTTGGCAAAGTCACTTTGGCTTAGAAAAGTAGGTAGTTAAAACACCTGATCACTCGCACAAGTGCCTTACTTTGAATTCAGTTGTGGCACTAACACTGTCAGCTTTTCACTCAAATGGCAACTTGGACTGAGTGTATGTTTTACAAAATATAAAGTAATGGCTGTTTCCAGAAAACAGTTTATTTGTTCAGGGAGATGGGAAATAAAAAAATAGATTTGGATGTGGAGTGGGAATTAACTGTTGAATCTGGTGCTGGAGTGGTAGGGCTTTTGAGTGGAATTGTGCAAAGCCCTGGCTTTGAACTCTGGTACTAAGGATAAAATTTTAGTTTAGAATATAGTATATTCTTGTTACCAGAAAGAATTACCTGTAACTAACATATATACGTACATGTAGTAGTACTAATAAGACTTTTTTTTTTTTTTTCCTGAGATGGTCTCTCAAAATATAGTCCTGGCTATCCTAGAACTCATTGAGTAGCCTCAGCTGGCCTTAAACTTGCAGAGATTCAACTGCCTGAGTGCTGGGATTATTAAAGTTGTGTGCCACCCCTGCTGGCACTAATAAGACTTTTGTGTGTTTTGTTTTTGTGAAGTCTGCTGAAATCCCATATTCATTAATTGGGTAAATATTTTTCCCAACAAAATTTGACATTTATTTTAAAACTATAGTTTATTTGCCCCTGAGAATTAAACTGATCTACACAAAGAACTCTTGTAATTTTGTTTTTGTTGGATAGCCTCTCTTAAAAGGGCTAGTTTAGAAAAAAAAAAGAAAAAAGTTTTGGGCCATCAAGATGGCGTAGTAGGTAAAGGTGCTTGCTCTCAACCCTGGCAATTTGAGTACAAGCCCTGGGACTCCTATGATGGAAGGAGATGAACTTCTGAAAGTTGTTCTGACTTCTCTGCATACATGCATACACAAAGAAGAATAAATGAATGTGATTCACTATACATAAATCTAAGAATGTGGGGCTGGAGAGATTAAGTGATTAAGAATGCTTGCCATTCCTTTGTCACGAGGACTGGAGGTAGAATCCTAGCACCCATATTGGGTGGCAAACAAATGTGCTTAAGTCCAGCTCCAGGGGATCCAATGCCATCTTCTGGGCCCAAAATTGTGGGCATACATTTATAAAAACACACAGACAAATAATGGTAACAGTGAATAAAGACTAATGTCTTAATGGTTTAAATGTCTCCATTTTTGTGAATTCAATCAGTACTCTTGTTTTCTTACCAACCTTGTGAAATTAGTTGGATACTTAATCCTTTTTAAGCTTAATTCTTCTAACAAGTAAAATTAAGACAGCGTAAAATTAATGTGCTTACTATTTTTTTGCATGTGCTTAATGTTTTGGATTTGTTTGTTTGTTTTTCCCCATGATAGGGTTTCTCCATGTAATAGCCCTGGCTTACCTGGAACTCTCTTTGTAAACCATGCTAGAGTTGAACTCACAGAGGTCCTTCTTTCTGCTACTACCTCTTTGGTGCTGGGATTAAAGGAGTGGGCCACTACTGCCCAGCAATGTTTTGGATTTTTAAAAGATTTATTTGTTTTTGTGTGTATGATTTTGCTTCCATGTATGTGTGTGTGCCACATGTATGCCTGGTGCCCTTGGAGGTCAAAACACAGCGCCTTAGATCCCCTGGAACTGAAGTTAGAAATGGTTGTAAGCCACCCTGTGAGTGTTGGAAACCAAACTTGGGTCCTCTGCAAGAGCATTAAGTTTCCTAATCAGTGCTCCAGCTCCCTATTAATTTTTTGCTTGGGATTGGGGTACACATGCACACTTCATGTGTAGAGTCAGAAGTTCATTCTCTGATAATACAATATGGGTCATCTCTTTTGAGACAGTCTCCCTATATATAGGTCTAGGTTTTCTGGGATTAATTGTGTAGCCTAGGCTTGCCTCTAATTGGCAGTGCTCTGACTTCTGCTTCTTGGATGCTGGAGTTTACAAATGTATGTCATCTTGCTTTGTCTTTTTTCTTTAAAAATTTTTTTCCTTTTTTTTTTGTTTGTTTGGTTTTTTTTTGTTGTTGTTGTTGTAGTTTTTTTGTCTTGTTTTGTGTTTTAAGACCAGGTCTGTGTAAGGGTCTGGGCTGTCCTGGAGCACCCTGTGTAGTAGACCAGGCTGGCCTCGAACTCACAGAGATCCTCCTGCCTCTGCCTCCCAAGTGCTGGGATTAAAGGCCTGTGCCACCACACCCAAATCTTAAATATTTTTAAAAATTGTTTTTATTATTTTTATGTATAAGAGTGTCCTGGTACCCAGATCTCTTGGAACTAAGGCTATATAGATGGTTGGTTGTGAGCTTATATGTGGGTGCTGTGTCTTCTGAAATAGCAGTCAGTGTTCTTAACCACTGAGGCATCTCTCCAGCCCCTTACTTTAAAAATGTTACAGTACTGACTGCTCAACACAATGCTTCATGCTTGTTTGAAAGTACATAGCACTGATCTATGTCTCCCGTCTCTACTAGTCTTTTCTCTTTTTAAAAAAGTAGACTGAGGAGGGATAGCTCAGTTGTTAATGGCTAGGCTCACAACCAAAAATATAAAGAAGTAGACTGAAAAAGAATATATAATTCTTTATCAGATTAAAAAGTCAAAAGTATTTTATTAATGTTTTTGTTCTTTGGATATTTCTTAGTAAGTTTTATTTAACTTCAGGTGAGCTGCAGAAAGCCATTGACTTGTTCACTGACGCCATCAAGCTAAACCCTCGATTGGCTATTCTGTATGCAAAGAGAGCCAGGTAAGAACACTTAAGTACAAAAGTACCTTTTGTAGACTTTTTATAATCCTTTGTTTATTCTGTAGAAATAAATTCTGTAGAAATCTCAGGTTTTTCTTAATATTACGTTCATTTTTTAGTGTCTTCGTCAAATTACAGAAGCCAAATGCTGCCATTCGAGACTGTGACAGAGCCATTGAAATAAACCCTGATTCAGCTCAGCCATACAAGTGGCGAGGGAAAGCACACAGGTAAATGAGCAAAGAGGTCTGGGGAAATAGCTTAGCTGTTACAGTGCTTGGAGGACTGAGTTTGACCTATAGAACTCATGATTTAAAAAGCTGGATGTTACTGGTTAGTGGTGCTGCACACCTTTAATCCCGGCACTCAGAGGCAGAGACAGTGGATCTCTGAATTCATGCCTGGTCCACAGAGTGAGTTACAGGACAGCCAAGGCTATACATTTTCAGAAACCCTGTCTTGAGGGGGGGGAAAGAGTCAAAGAGAGAAGATCCTATATTGAATACACAAGCCTGAACTTCTTTATTCATTACTGGGAACTTTCAAAAAAAAAAGAAAATCTAGATAAAAAGGCAGTTTCACCCAGTCTAGTAGTCATTTCTAGTGGTAAAACTTAGTGCTTGATATGCCTTAGGGAAGTCCAGTGACTTTCAGGTAGATTGAAAAGCTGGTGTAGGTCAAATGTAAATAGAGATGAGAATGGGAGTTCTTTCGTTTTTGTTTGTTTTAACATTTATTTACTTATTATATAACAGTATTCTGCTTACATGTATGTCTGCACACCAGAAGAGGGCACCAGATCACATTATATATGGTTGTGAGCCACCATGTGGTTGCTGGGAATTGAACTTAGGACCTCTGGAAGAGCAAATAATACCTCTGAGCCATCTCTCCAGCCCTTGTTTTTTGCTTTTCAAGACAGGGTTTCTTTATGAAGCAGTGCTGGCTATCTTGGAACTCACTTTGTGGACCAGGCTGGCCTCAACCTCACGGAGATCCACTTGCCTCTTCCTCCCAAGTGCTGGGATCCAAGGCATGGTGCCACCACAGCCTAGAGAGAAGGGATGTTCTTTTCACAAATGTGTTAAATGACCCACAGTAGTGATTTTTATGAAGGGAAGTCAAAGAGAAAAGGGAAAGGTTGAAAAAAATATATATATTAATGCTGTGTAAGTCCAGTAGATACCCACATGTTGTTGGTTTCTTTGAAGTTAGCCACTAGTCCTCAAGTGGTTATTTGCTGTCTAGTACCAACATGGACTAATCTTGTACACTGACTGGTAGGAGACTAGAATAAACCAATTTTTCTAAGAAACCATAGTTCATTTTTGTGAACACTAAAAGTTGCCTGGTAGGGTATACTTACTGCTTCTGTTACAGAAATAATCTTTATAAATTCATGATTTGAATGAAGTTGACTTTATGCTGAGATTTTCAATTTAAAATTAAATGTTTGCCTTTTAAGTCTTTGTCCTTATGTGATTTTCTAAACCTATCACATTAACAGTGTTTCATAGTTACTAACTTAGCATTGCACACCCTCCAAATAAACTGTAGAGGTTTTCTTGGCATTCGGTTGTCTTTAAGAATATAGCCCATTTAAAATATGTGGCTAAGGGCTGGAGAGGTGGCTCAGAGGTTAAGAGCACTGACTGCTCTTCCAGAGGATCTGAGTTCAATTCCCAGCAACCACATGGTGGCTCACAACCATCCGTAATGAGATCTGGTGCCCTCTTCTGGCCTGCAGGGACACATGTAGACAGAACACTGTATACATAATAAATAAATATTTAAAAAAAAATGTGGGTAAAACAAAATATTTAGAAAGATAATTTCAAGTTTTGTGTTTGTGTTGTGAATGTGATAGTCTCATTTCTGTTTATATTTGGGTTTAGGCTTTGCTTTATCAGTTTTTATTGCATTTATCTTGAGAGGGTGGCAGTATCTCATATCATGATATACATGGTCTCCATCTCCGCCCTGGTATTTTAGTTCTGAGTACTGGTTTTGATTGTTTTCTCAATAAAGCAGGCACATGTGCATGGCTTTCACCTTCAGGCCTACATAGAACATACCATGTGAAATGTCTTTCATGTAGAAAATTATTGCTTTACCTCCTTCTTTTAAATACATCAGAATTATTGTATAAATTTCAGTTCCTTCAGGTTTTTAGAAAGTTAACCATCAAAGTAACACAGTGCTTAAATTGGTGATAAAAATTTGTAGTTAATAGTTAAGTGAAAACTTTTCTGTTACTCTGCATTTTTAAGTGGTTCTTCCAATGAGTTTACATCTATTTCAGACTCCTGGGTCACTGGGAAGAAGCAGCTCATGATCTTGCCCTTGCCTGTAAACTGGATTATGATGAGGATGCCAGTGCAATGCTGAAAGAAGTTCAACCTCGGGTATGTCAGAACATTACGTAAGACTCCATGGCTTTGCACTTGGTCTGAAAAAACAGGTGATGAAGCATGTAGAGGTTAAAGCTGCGTGGACACATCATTAGTATGTCATGTTTCCATTTTGAACACTGTTAGAGAATAGGCTGTATGACTTTTCTGCAAGTGGAATAACACACAAAATCAGAAAGGTGTAGTACACACGCCATAATCCCAAAACTTGGGAGATAGAAGCAAGCAGATCTCTGTGGGTTCTGGCTATATAAAGAGACACTGTTTCAAAAAAAAAGTAACTGAACACCGTAAAATGTAACACAGGGTTATGTTTGATACCTGCCTCTCCTTACATCATAGGTGTGTGCAAAGGAGGAAGACCTCTCTGAGGTGAATTTCAAGTTCAGTTTTTGTTTATTTTGTTTTTTGAGTCTTTATTACTGATAAATTTTGCTTTTTGAGACAGGGTTTCTCTGTGTGTAGCTCTAGCTCTTCTGGAACTCCGTTTGTGTAGACCAGGCTGGCCTAGAACTAGCAGAGATATGCCTTTCTCTGCCTCCCAAGTGCTGGGATTAAAGGTATGTGCCACCACTGGCCCCCAAAAGATTTTTTTTTTTTAAATGAAAATGTTTGATCCAAAAACTATAGAACGTATATGTACAAGTCTTTTGTTTTGCCCCTAAGACAGAATCTCACTGTGTAGACCTGGCTGTTCTGGAACCCACTGTCCTCAAACATAGAGATGACCTGCCTCTTCCTCCCATGTGCTGGGATTAAAGACGGGCACCACCCTCCCCAGCTTTTTGAAATTTTTATTACTGTAAACTTAGCAAACTAGTTGTTGAAAATATTCTAAAACGTAAAGTTATTAATAATTGTATAGACACTAAAGTAACATTTGAATAGCAACTATTCATCTCCAACGTATTTGAAAGGCCTGTTTCTGCTCCCCACCCCCACCCCTTTTTGGGTGCTTCTAGGGGTTAAATTCACGGCCTTGTGTGTATTAATCATGCATTTACCACAAAACTATACCCCAGGATCCAAGACGAATCGTTTCTGGCATATCCCCCATCTGTTTACAGCATTGTCTTTATTTTATGTGTGTGGTGTTTTGACTGCATGTGTGTCAGGGTACCATGTTCCTGCAGTGCCTTCAGTGGGTAGAAGAGGACATTTGGGTTGTCTGAAACTAGAGTTAAAGACAGTTGTAAGCTGCTGTGTGGTTCATAAAAATCAAACCCAGGTCCTCTGCAAGAGAAACCAGTGTTCTTAACCATTGAGCAGTCTTTCCAGCTCCACCTAGCCCCCATTTCATAGACAAGGAACTTTAAATATAGGCAGACTATAGCAAAAACTTGGTATGTGTTTTGAGTATCTGCCTTCCTGTGGCAGACATTTTTCATGATAGTTTTTTTGCTGACTGATATGTGACTTGTGAGTCATTAGTGCTATATAGTAGGTAGAAGCCTTCAAGTAAGAATTGTCCTAAAATTTGTAATGTATTTATCCTTGAGCTTTGTCATCTGTTTGAGATTAGACATTTTCTCTTAAACTGTATATCCTATACTCTTCATTTCACTCAACATATTTTCATTTATTTTACATACCGACCTTTGTTTCCCCTCTTCTCCTCCCCTCTTCCCCCCTTTGCTCTTTTTTGTTTGTTTCATTGTGTGTAATGCACTTGACATTGCTTTTAAAGCCTGGCTTTATGTTTGGTCATTTTTAATGAGTTCACTAGCTTGTGTTAATTATACATAATAATGGTTTTCATTTACATATTGTCTTAGAGTTTCTGTTGCTCTGAAGAGACCATGATGACAGCAACTCTTATAATGGAAAACGTTTAATTGGGGACATGGCAGCATAGAAGCAGACATGGTGCTAGAGAAGGAGCTGAGAATTCTACATTTTATCCGCAGGCAACAGAAAGGGAACTGTGTCACTGGGTGTAGTTTGAGCACATGGACCTCAGAGCCCACCCCTACAGTGATACACTTCCTCTCTTCCTAATAGTGCCACTCCCTGTGGGCTTATGAGATCAAATTACATTCAAACTACCACACATGTACCTGATACCTTTTGATCATTCTTGTTTCCCATTTCTCTTTCCCAGTCTCCCCCTCCAGCTAGTTTCTCTTTCCCCTTACACTTTCATGGCTTTTTCTTTTTGACCCTTTGAATTTTATTAGGATTTCCTTATAGGAGCTGTGCTATACAACTGAGGAAGTGTCTCTTCCTCATCAACCTTGAGGTACCAGTAGCTCTTCAAAGTGGTATGGAACCTCCTCAGTCGCCCTCCAGCTTCCATGAGTTAGGTTCTTTTTCTGTAAGGTGTCTCTGTCATTTCTTAGAGCTATATAGTAAAGAAGTCACTATTAGAATAAGGAACTCTTTTTGTGTTTTTCAAGACAGGGTTTCTCTGTATTGCTTTGGAGCCTGTCCTGAACTCGCTCAGTAGACCAGGCTGGTCTTGAACTCACAGATATCCGCCTGCCTCTGCCTCCTGAGGGCTGCCATTCAAAGCGTGTGTCATCAACGCCACTCTGGAAGAAGGAACTCTTAACAAAACTTCTTCACTTGACTTTATCAGACATTTCAGGCAAATTTATTTCCTGTGGTTCTTCTTTCTAGGCACAAAAAATTGCTGAACATCGGAGAAAGTATGAGCGCAAACGTGAAGAGCGAGAGATAAAAGAAAGAATAGAAAGGGTGAAGAAGGCTCGAGAGGAGCATGAGAGAGCCCAAAGGGTAAATTGCTGTAGCTAACCCAGTAGATGAGACCTCAGGACACTGTTCTAATTCTCTCTTTCCATGATGGCTGCAGCATATGGGGTGACAGCCCTCCACAAGAGTCTCCTTTCATTCTGTCCTTTCTGTTTTTAGTTTCTAAGGTTATATGAGCTTGCATTTCACCAACTTACATTCATTTTTTTAAATTTGTAAATTTGGGCCAAGAGTATAATTTACAGCAGGGCAACCCTTTCCCCCATCCAAACTCAAAATTTCCTGGCCAGGTTAATTAAATTTTGTGTGGGTACTAGTCCTTCCCCATAGGATTCTTCCCCTGTGGTTTTTTTTTGTTGTTGTTGTTGTTTTTTTGTTTTGTTTTGTTTTTTTATGATTCCTAACTTTCCAGCTGTAGATTCATGACTATCAAAAAAGATTCTAGCTGTGCATCTATAATCCCAGCATTCTAGATGCTGAATGGGGGGGGGTACTTTTAGTTTAAAGTCATCTTTGGCTATATAGTCGTATCTCAAGAGGAAAAAATGTTTCTTTCTTTTTTTTTTAAATAATTATACAGTTGTATTGTAGAAATGTAGAGAGAGATTTTTGGTGGTTTTCCCAGTATTGTTAATACTCTCCTTGTTTTTCCCCATGTACCTTTGTATAATAATGTTGTGTGACAAGAATTTTCCTGGGGAGATGCTAGACACATGTCTACTTACCCCAGGAGGGAGTCCACAACAGACCTAAGTATGGATACAAAGTCCAATTTGGTGAACCCTGAGTTTTATTTAGGTTACTTACAGGAATGGATGAGGGGTTACTTATAGGAGAATAATGACTTAGAGACAGCTGCATCACCAAAGCCCACCCCGCATGGGTGACAGCTCACAAAAAGCTGGGAACCTGGAGCACACAGTATAGCCTCTGGTCAATTTCAGAGACTAAAGGTATTTTGAGTTGTGTAAACAGCTTCCCTACAGGGTTTACTGTTTCAATTCTGGAGGAAACAATTGGTTTTGTCAGTTGTAGTCTACTTGTTTCTAGCATTGCTGAAAGGACATGTAGCTATATAGCTATATATAAGTAAGTCTTAATTTGGGGGTCATTTAATAAGCATCATACTGTATATATAATGTATGTATTTGTCATGGTTTATAAAAATATACCTATATGTATATATTTATTTGGTTTCCTTCTCTTGTGTCCTGGGGATTGAACTGGGACCTCACACATGTGAGGCAAGAGCTGTACTACTGGGTTACAGTCTTACATTGATGATGGTTTCTAACTGGGTATGAAGGTAGGTTCTAATTGGCCATTCTTTGTTCTTAAAAACAGCTCAGGAAGCCTTCTTCAGTGTACTTTTACATTTTTGCTGTAAGAATGTAGAAGAGATGAACCTAGGAAGTAATCTAGACATGGCCTTTCATTTTGGAGTTTTAAAACAAGTGAGAATTCATAGCTTACATAAGTAGAAGCATATGTGCTTTAACTTTTCAGGGAGGTAAAATGCCAGAAATCATTATTAAAATAAGCCCCAGGGGTTGTCGGAAGTGGTTCATCTGTTTGTTGAACCTTATCATTCTGTCTTCTGTTTTATTTTTTGATTTTGATTTCCTGAATTTCTGTTGAAGGTTTCGGTATTGGGGTAAAAAGCTTTCTTTGTTCTTGTTTTTCTACTGTATTATAATTTGTTTTCATTTTGTCTTCAAGGAAGAAGAAGCCAGAAGACAGTCTGGAGCTCAGTATGGCTCTTTTCCAGGTATTTTAAAGGAAAACCTCTTAGTATAATAAATAAGCTATCTCCTGATTTTGAAGCCCAGGTGTGTTTATATATGGGGAGAGGTAGTTCTTGAAACTCCAAAGAATGTTAAACTTTTTTTTTTTTTTAAGATTTTATTTATTATGCATACAACATTTTGCTTCCATATATATCTGCACACCAGAAGAGGGCACCAGATCTCATAACGGATGGTTGTGAGCCACCATGTGGTTGCTGGGAATTGAACTCAGGACCTCTGAAAGAGCAGTCAGTGCTCTTAACCTCTGAGCCATCTCTCCAGCCCTGAATGTTAATCTTTATAAAGTTCATTTTCATTAACAGTTTTTTGTTAGTGGAATAAAAACATTTTCCCCCTATATTTTCATTTATAATATGTTTTAAGAAAAGTTAATAGCTGTTGATTGCTCAGTATTTTACTCCAACTAATTTATTATAATGTAATCTACTTACATAATCAGTAAGATTATGTCCTGTTACATGTGATAATATTTATATTCATGGGGATACTGCCTAAAGACATAGGGCTAGCAGAGTAATTATGCTGCACACCTTTAATTGGAGCACTCAGGAGGCAGAGGCAGGTGGATCTCTGTGAGTTTGAGGCCAGCCTGGTCTACAAAGCAAGTTCCAGGACAGCCAGGGCTACACTGAGAAACCCTGTCTTAAAAACAAATAGTTAAAAAAAGTAATGAATATACGTGATGTATATGTATATAGGTATATATGTAATACATGCAGACAAAATACTCCTAAAATACAAAACTTAAAAAGAAAGAGAATTTGGGCATGTAAGTATTTTAAGTTCAGTATGAAAGAGAATATGGCCAGGAGTGGTGGCTTGTTCTAGAATATTATTTTAAGGTGTGTTACTTTTGTTTATGCTGTGAAACATTTAATGAGGTGAAGATGTGTTGCTTTTGTTTATGCTGCATTTGTTTAACTCTTTGAAGTTGTGATTCTTTGCATGTCTAAAACACCTGATTGGTCTAATAAAGAGCTGAATGGGCCATTGGTGAAACAGGAGATAGGATAGGTGGTGCTGGCAGGCAGAGAATAAATAGAAGGAGAAATCTGGGAGGAGAGAAGGATGCTAGGGAGAAGCCCCCCAGGCAGGTATGGAGTAAGAGTTTTCACAGAAGTAACAGAAAGTTAAAAGCCCAGAGGCCAAAGGTAGACAGGCTAATTTAAGAAAAGCTGGCAAGAAACAAGCCAAGCAAAGGCTGGTCTCTCCATATGTGATTTATTTGGGAGCTGGATGGTGGTCTCCCCAAAAGAACCAAAGACCAAACGAGTAAAAACCAAACAATAACATTTTGGCATTTCAGTGTAGGGCTAGAGTAAAAGAAAATCCAAATACAGTGGTTCGTGCTTTTAATCTCAGCACTCAGGGGGCAGAGGCAGCCAGATCTCTGTGTGTTCAAGGTCAGCCAGAGCTACACAGAGAAACCCTGTCTTAAAAATGTCTTGAAAATCCAGAGAGAAAGAATATGCCCCTCCTGTCTCTGTCTTTATGTCGTGTGTCGTCTATTCCCCCCCCCGCCGTCCCATTGTTGTCTCCCCCCCACTCTCCCCCTTCCCTGCTTTGTCCCTCTTCCTCTCTCATTTTTTAAGAGTTCTTTGGGTCCCCTGGACTTTGAATTAACAGTTAATAGTTGTGAGCCTTCCAAAGTGAATGCTGTAAACTGAACTCTTTCTTTTTTTCAAAGAGCAACAAGCACTTCTAACTACTGAGCTAACCGTCTAGGCCCTCTTATTCTTTCTTGCAAATGTTCCATAATCAGAAATTAATATCAAAACAAAGGTTTTGAGTGTTAGCAAAGTACTCATGTTCAGATAGGTGTGAGAAGGCAAAGAAACTGAGAAAATAGTTTTTGGTTTTTTTTTTTTTTAAGATTTTATTTATTATGTATACAACATTCTGCTTCCATGTATATCTACACACCAGAAGAGGGCACCAGATGTCATAACAAATGTTGTGAGCCACCATTTTGCTGCCTAAAAGAGGGAGTGTGAAGTTTATATAAACAATATGCTTCTTAAAATTGGATTTTGTTTGCGTAGTAAAGGCTGTCTTCTACTTTGTGGTAACTGGTTTTCACTCAAAGAAAATTTAGGCACCAGTTTATGCTTACATACCATTGGGACAACCATTTATTTCAAAGCTACAAAATATAACTTATCTGGGCAGTGGTGGCAAAGGCAGGCAGATTTTTGTGAGTTTGAGGCCAGCCTGGTTTACAGAGCAAATTTTCCAGGACAGCCAGGGATACACAGAGAAACCCTGTTTCAAAAAAGTAAACCAAAAAGGAAAAGAACATGCAACATGTTCATCAGTGTTAAAAAGATTGAAAAATTATAGCTCATAGCTAGCTTCTAGCTTAAAATAAATATCTAATCACCAGTTTGCTTTATTATAAAGCTTTATTGATATGAACTAATACTAGATACAGCTCTTCTCTGTGCATTCTTGTATCTAATTTAGCAAGCCTTGTTTCAGTAATTTTTTCATGGGAAGGAACTGATCTTTGAGAGCCCGTGAGAACAAACTGCAGAGAAGCTTAGAAGTTTGTTTTTCCTATCCCCTGCCTATGGTTACTAGTGCTTATAGTTTGATATATTGTTGAGCATGACAAATGACTGTTCATTGTGTTTACTTATTACAGCTTTGTCATGATTCTGTGTCTGTAGAATACATTAATATTACGGAGTTTTCTCTTTAGGATGCCCTATTTTGGCATAATTGTCATTTCAGAGTGTCTCCAGTAGAGGTTTTTTATTATACAGAAATAGAGGAGTTGGAGAGATGATGCTTCAGATGTTAAGAGTGCATGCTCTATCCGGGTGTTGGTGGCACATGCCTTTAATCCCGGCACAGGCAGGCGGATCTCTGTGAGTTCAAGGCCAACCTGGTCTACAGAGCGAGTTCCAGGACAACTTCTAAAGCAATACAGAGAAACCCTGTCTTGATAAACAAACAAAAAGAGTGCATGCTGTGCAGTCATGAGGAGAGGAGTTCAGATCATGCATTCAAATAATAAACTAGGCAGCAGTTAGCCAGGACTCCAGTTCCAAGGGATCTAATGCCCTCTCTGGTGTCAGGGTTCACTTGGGCACACCCATATTCATAGACAAATGGAATCTTTGAAAAATAGAAGTAGAAAATAACGTGGTTTTACAATTTAATAGTGTGCTTAGAAGAATGAAGTTTTTTTGCTAGAGAATTACTCTAGAAATGATCACTAGGAGTGCATATTAGCTGTGCAAATTCTGCCAAATGTAGTGATATGTGCCTGTAATCGTGTTAGGGATTAGAAGGACTGCCATGAATTTGAGGGTAATCTGGGCTACATAGGTGAGACCTCACCTAAACAGAACACACCCCCTCCCTCTTTTTTTTTTAATTGTATGTTATAATTTTTAAAGATTTTGATAGTTTAGAATGGGACTCATAAATACCACCATAAATTCACCACCTGTCATCTCAGATGGCCCTGGCTAGTTTTATATCAACTTGACACAAGCTAGAGTCACCTGAAAAGAGGGAACCTCAATTGAGAGAGTGCCTTTGTAAGATCCAGATGTGGGGTGTTTTCTTAGTGATTGATGGGAGAGGGTCCAGCCCTTTATGTGTGGTGCTGTCTATCTTTGAGCTGGTGATTCTGGGTTCTATAAGAAAGGCTGTGCAAGCCATGCTGAGGAAGCCAATAAACAGCACCGTCCATGGCTTCTGTCTCCAGGTTCCTGCCCTGTTTGAGTTCCTAACCTGACCACCTTCAGTGATAAACAGTGATGTGGAAGTGTAAGCCAAATAAACCCTTTTCTCCCCAACTTGCTTTTGGTTATGGTTTTTCAACACAGCAATAGTAACCCTAACTAAGACACAGACTCGAGGAGGTGGAGGCTGTAGGTTCAGGATTTCTAGGCCAGCTTCACCTACAGAGCAAGTTTTAGGCCAGCCCAGGCTCTACAAGACTTCTCATCACTCAATAAACTAAAAAGAGAAAGAATAAATTAATAAATTTTTTGTTACCCATATTTTAGGTAAGACTCGAGGCATAACTGCTCTAGATAAATGTCAAAACTAAATAAAACAAGCTTAGATTGACAGGAATTAAATTGAAACAGACAAATAATACTCAGGTGTGAAAAATTCAAAGATGATTGAGCCAGCATGGTCATGTATACCTGCAGTCTTAGCATTGAGAATGCAGAGGGAGGAAATCAATTCAGGGCAGCCTGGTCAACGCATAACATTCATTGCAAGTTCAAGGACACGTTCTCTGTATTGAAACACCTCATCCCTCTCCCACCACCCCAAACAAAAGAAAAAAACAATGTCATACCTGGCATTAATGTTTTGGGAGGATCAGCACATGTTGATTCTTTATTTTTAAGGCAAGATTAGTTTTGTTGAACAGTTTTAAGTAATGAAAAACAAGTACAGAAAGGAGAAAAGTCTGATTTTTCATTTGCTTTTAGGAAAAATTAGAAGTTATACCTGATAGCCTACTGTGTTGAGAATAGACTGTGCTGACTTCCCAGGGGTGTCCTTTTAACTCACGTGCACACTTGAATATTGTAGAGTTTCAATAGAAACTTGCTGATGTCCTTAATTATTTCCTTTATCCTTGTAGGTGGTTTTCCTGGGGGAATGCCTGGTAATTTTCCTGGAGGAATGCCTGGCATGGGAGGAGGCATGCCTGGAATGGCAGGAATGCCTGGACTCAATGAAATCCTCAGTGACCCAGAGGTTCTTGCGGCCATGCAGGTAAAGTTTGGAAGAACAAAGTTGGGCTTCGATCATTAAAGCTTTCCTTTTCTACTTACATGTGATGACAGCACACTTTGCTATTTTTCCTCCTAGTTATCAATTAACTAATTTTGCAGTCTGGCATTTTTCTAAATTTAGATGAATTTTTTAAAGATTTGTCTTGCTGGGTGCTGCTGGCTCAAACCTTTAATGCCAGCACTCGGTAGGCAGAGGCAGGCAGATCTCTGTGAGTTCAAGGACAGCTAGCCTATACATCTCTGTCTCCAAAAAGAAAGGTTTATTTTTACTCTATGTCTATGAACATTTATTTGCATGTCATTATATGCATGTATATATCATTATATGCATGACTCTTGGAGGTCAGAAGAGGGCATCAGATCCCCTTTAGCCAGCATTACAGCCCGCTAACTGAGTCACCATGTGGGTGCTGGGAACCCAAACCAGCTCCTCTGCAAGAGCAACCAGTGCTCTTAGCCATTGAGTCCTTTCTCCAGCCTCTATTTTCTGTGTATATGTATGTGCTTGTGTAGTTATGCATGCCAGATGTGTTCAGGTATAGAGTACATACTGCCAGATCCCCCTGGAGTTGGAATTACAGGCTGTTCATTGTAAGCTACCTGGTGCCTGGCATAGGTGCCGAGAACCAAACTCAGGTCCTCTGGAAGAGCAGCAGGTATCCTTATGTTGTGTGATTGTGTTGTTTCAAATAAAAGCTTGCTTGGCGTCTGAGAAGCAGGGGAGCAGCCAGTGACTTCCTACCTCTTCTGTTTTCTTCCTCCAAAAGGGCCAAGATCCTCTCTCAGCCCTACCTTACTACTTCCTGTCTCTATCTATCTATAGTCCTCCAAACCTCCATGGTTAATTTTGGTCAGCTAGTGGCTGGCTCTGCCCTCTGACTCCAAGCAAGCTTTGTCACAACACAATCAAAATATCACACACCACCATTAACTGTTGAACCACCTTACAGGTTACGTTTTTGAAAGTTCATTTTAAGAATTAGCTATTCGTGTTTTTTTGTATCAGTGTTAAAGTGCTTTCCTTTTCATTATTTTTAGTTCAAGTTTCAGAATTAAACTTGACTTGAGCTTGGGTACTTTGAAGAAATTGCTAACCTGGTATATCAAATATGGCTGAAGCATATTACACTGGTTTGCTATTAGGGCATTTAGTATTCTAAAACTTACCTCTTTATTTAAAACATGTTTTAAATTTGAGATTTAGAATACTAAACTTAGTCCAGTGGGTACTTTAAGTAAGTTACCAAACCCAGACATTGCCAGGTGGTGGTGTGCATGCCTTTAATCCCAGCACTCAGATGCAGGCTGATCTCTGTGAGCCCCAGGTCAGCCTCATCTATAGAGCTAGTTGAGAACAGCCAGATCTACACAGAGAAAACCCTGTCTCAAAAAAAATCAAAAAAAAAGAAAGAAAGAAAAGAAAGCACCATACATACCTAAATAAATTCAATGTACCTTACCTCGGTCTTTTCTTTTTCTTCAGGATCCAGAAGTCATGGTGGCTTTCCAGGATGTGGCCCAGAACCCAG